GATTGAATGGCAAGGAATAAACTTCTGCTGACATGCTTAAGGGTTAGGTTAAGAAATAAAACAATGTTCTTTTATTGTTTAGATTTCTTTACATGTGCCTGGTGGATTTTTCAAGGTACTGAACTATAGTGTTTTGGGCATGCAAGTGAAAGTCTTTCTTTAAACATGCTATAGCTCCCCAGTCTACCCCAACTGTTTGAGTTTTTTACACTAATCTAAATTTCAGTTAAAAATATGTCCTTCCTGGATAAAAAGGTGCATCCTCATTCATTCCCTGCCTTAATCAGTTTTGTTTGTTCACTCCCCTGTTTTTCGCTCACACAATTGTTGTTTTGTGTCAAGCCAAGAGGTCTGTTAGAGCTCCTGTAATAAGTACATCCAGTGGAAGATAGAGTTTCATCCACTGAATTCATACAGTGACTTCTCATAAAAGATATTTTGGGTTCAGGCTCCTCAGTTTTAAAACAAATATACTTCTTTGGCATGACTCTGGATTCTGTGGGGAATTCTGATTCTCTGTGACTCACTTTGAACTGCAACAGCAGGGTATGTAGTTTGCTGTGTAAAACTTGTAGTTCAATACCTGGTCTTCAACTCACAGATTGGCACTATCAGTATTCATGGCAGAAGAGAAAAGAATCGCAGTCAGGTTTATAATCCCTGTTACTCCATAGTGACAGGAGTTACTCCTTTGGAGCTTATGTTTGGGTTTTCACTGAGCAGCAGATTGAAACCAGTTCAGGAACAGCAGTAACGCTAGTATTCATTGTAGCAAGATGCCTTACCCAATTAGGAAAACCTTCACTCTTTCTTCCTTAAAGCAGCCTTCCTCTTATTTTAGAATGCAGTAGAAACATTGTGTTATTAATTACATTTTACCAAATGAACTTCACTTAAAGCTCAATTAAAACTGTGGAAGCTGAATTATTCTAATGTAGTCTGGTAAACACAGCAGAATTAGGAGTTGTGTGTGAGTAGCTGGTCACAGAATTGAAAATATCTATCCCCATTGGTTTTTTAAGAATATTTGAGAAATTTGTACATTGGATTTTACAGAGGTCTGTCTATTCAACAATGGCCATGCAGTGTTGTCATTTCTAATTCTGTAGCCACTTAGAACCATTTTGTCCTCAGAGCTGATATTCCTAAATTGGGAGCAATTATCTTGCTGGCTGAGAGACCTGAGAAAACACGGAAAGAAATGGGTTCTTAGGTCTTATCAAACACCAGTGTTCATCGTTAATTCTCCCCATTTTCTGTTGTCAGGTGCTTGCATATCTCTCTCCCATGGCTAGTTACACGATGGGAACATAGCATTAGAAGATGATTGGAATTGCCGAGTGTGATTAAAAGGTCATGTTTGAATTATAGCAAAAATCCAATAGGCCGTCCATAGTAAAGCTGAAGAATTTTTCATACATCGGTTAAAATACATATTTTGTCTCATTGTCATTGATGGAATGAACAAGAGAGAGAGCACATTAAATCCAGACAGCTGCAGAATGGCCATCAGGTGGTTCTGGATCTCAGCAGTATCATGAACGGAGGTTTAATTCAGACATATTTTCATACCCCAGACTCCTAGTTTCGATTATCTGTATCAGTAAGAATGCAATTTTTCTGGTGCAGGACTAGGTATTATTTTTTATGTTTATGAAATTACATTTAGAGCATTATTTATACACCTTGCACATAATAAGTAACTGGCAAACTTCTTATGCTCTATTGATAGAGCTTAATATTTAAAACAGATTGCACACATGTGGTGTTTTTATCTACAGTGTTACTAACCTAGAAGAAACGCTGAATGTCAAGCCTGCTAAACCTTTCCTGGTAATCACAAAACCCTGATTTGGAGATCATAAAACCCCTGTGGCAAAAAATCTGCCATCTGCTGGCCAAGGAGTAAAGTACTCGTTAGGCATAGATGTGCACTGGGTAGAGCGCTCCAGCATGATTCCAGCAATAGGAGAAACTGGTAGTTTTGCAGAGCTCTTCAGCAGCACATCTGAAACAGGCCTGGTCAGTAGTTTTCTGACAGCATGTTTTTCCATCAGAAAGTGCTGTTTTGTTATAATTAAAACTTTCTGTGGGAACACGTCAATGAGAAACTGAAATGTTCCATTCTAAAAATATCAGAATGTTCTGTTTCAAAATTTTTAGGCTGGAACACTTTGATTTTTATTCCAGAATGATTTTTTTTTTTAAAAAGTCATTATTTTTGTACATTATAAAAACAAGAAATCAGAATTGAAATTGTCGTCTTTGTATTAAACATTAATGAAACCTCACATCATCACTATTGCACGTGGTAAATTCAGGCAGTCAAGAATCTAGGAGTCTTGGCTTTTATTACTCTGCTTTGACCACTCAGTCTGTCTCACTACTTGTGGTCATGTACGTATGCTCTGTAGGGAGAATGTCAAGAGTGTGACTATCTTTTCATTCAGATGAGGGAGATCAGAGATGGGAAGAAAACTTTGTTTTTCTCATCTTTACATCTTTATTTCTTGTATTGTAATTTTGCATGGATTATTTAAATTGCTACAGTAATTTAAAGAAAGATTGTTTTGAGCTTATACTCCTTTTAATAATATAGCATACACAGAGTTCTCAGTTATAGCCAAAATCATACCAGTCAATGTTCAGAAAAAAGAAAAGAAGCAAACAACTAAAGATAACTCTCAAGGCTTTCCTTTGCCTAGCTTTGTAAGTTTAGCACTTGTCATGTGCTAAAAAGAAAAGATAAACTTTGCATTTCATTCTGCAAGGAAAGGAATGAAAGAAAAAAATGCAGGATTTGATCAGTGACAGATCCAGGAGTTATTATTTTTAAACCTTTTCTTAAAATGGGGCTCCAGCTAAGTTATATGACTTCTTAAAGATGAGTAACTTTGTTTTCAGAAAGAAAGGAAGTACAGTGGTTCTGATAATATATCACCAGTCATGACAGATAATTATCTATCTATCTAATATATCCCTATATGGCAGCCATTTACACTGTGTTAAAAAAAAAATGTTTAGATGCACTTAACCAGGCTGAATTTATACTCACAGGGACAGTTTCTAATTTTGGACTTCATGACTTTTTAAATATCATTTTAATGTAGCTTTTAATGCAATTAGAAAAATTGAAGAAAAAAAAATTGCACGTGCAAAATCATAGTGATTCTCCCTCAACATGGATTTTCAGAAGGGCTGAGTTCTTTTGCTTACAGTGCGGTTATCTACCATGTGAGCTGGGGAAGTAACTGAACACAAAAGGTTGTTTACCTCTGTAGGAACCAGGCACTAGAGAGGGGAAGTGTGCCTACACTGTCAGGGAATGTTTAGATTCAGGAACTATGAGTTCAGTTCTGTGATTTGTAGGGGACTGTCCTGTCATGATTGGAGAGACGCTTCTGCACAGGTCTTTTGCTTTTTATTTTTGCTCAAACCTCCCCTCTCCAGTTCCTGTCCTTTTTTGCTCCTTGGCCATGCTACCTTCATCCACTTCTCCATCCCATTCACTCTGTTTCCATTTTTGCCGCTGAGTTGCTGTTTTCTTTTGTTCTTTTCACCCCGTCCATATCATTCCACCCTGCCTCTGTCCTTTCTACTTCTGTGTCTTCTGACCTTTCCTTGTAGCTATCTTCTCTTTCAAGATCCTCCTGGACCTTTTGTGCCAAGACCTCTTGATCCTGTTGATCCATTTTGCATTCTCCAAGTAGTCTTCTTTATCTAGTTCTTCCTCACCAGTGAACTGATGGCAATAGAAGCATAGTACACAAAAGAAGGACACACTCCCAGCTGTTGAGTATATAGTCTTGATGCCACAGCGTCAAGTCCCAGCAGTTGGGATGAACAATTTCAGAGAATATCCTTTCTGTCTCTGCAGCTGTGTTGGAGGATACTTATACTCTGGTTTCAAGAAATGTGGTCTTTTACAAGAAAATCAGTCAAGTGTTACTGTTTGTGGCACCTTACCCTCTCAATAACCTTTTACAGGACCGAGTAGTGGTTCAAACTGGTGAACTGATCTGGCATCAAAGTATTTATTTATCGCTGGGTGTGTTTTCAGTTGAATAAGTTATTGGATCCATACAGAGGAAAAACATATTTTAATTTGCCAGAAATATTTGGTGCTTTTTAGCTAATGTATCCAACCAAAACCTCAACATTTGGAAGATACGCAGAAGTGAAAATTCAGTCCAGTCTCTAAATTATGCACAACCTAATAATGGAAGAAGGCAGGCAAATTCTAGGTAACTCAACTGTTTGCAATTTTGTCATCTGATCTGTAATACTTGTGCACCTCTGCCACATGAAAAATCTGTCAATCATAGTGCCTCTACTGTGTAGTTAACATAATACGCACAGGGAATAATAAAGCTGCTTTATTTAGGATTCTCTCAGCTGTCCCTGTTATCTCATTCAACAGAACAACCTGCTAGTGATAGACTGGTGGTAATACTGATTTATTTAAAGAAATCATCAGGTAAAACAGGTTCCTTTATTTTGTTGTTTAAAAGATTCACTCCAGTAAATTAGAGAAATACTATTTCAGATGTCTAAAAAGGTATCCTTGCTCTGTATTGGCTTGCTTTTGTCTTACCCATATTTGGTTGAGATTCATGTAATCTGCGGAATTCTTTGTGCCATTGTTTTAAACATAATACAGTGAGATTTGACGCAGTGATTCACTTTGTGCTTATAGAAACTTGAGGCAGATGAGATACAATTTTATCTTCTGCAGAAGAAGGCTATTGACTTGCCCGGTCCCTTTACTAGACTGGTTCTGAATCATTGGTGCCATTGCCTGATTTACATCTTTGCAAATATATGCAAATACAGAGTATTGCCATGTGGTCTTAGGTCCCCAGAAGTGCTGGTGACCTACTTGAGTATCTCAGCTAACAGAATAGGAGCTTTTGCCTCTTCACATTTTATACATTTCAAAAGGCAGTATTTTTCTTATTTTTCTATGTATAATTTCTGAAAAGCATCCTACAATGTTTGAATTATAGTAAAGCATCTGAGAGATCAAGGTCTTTCTCTTTGTTTCGGGGAGGTGTTGAGTTTTCTGTTGCTGGATTGATGTTTTCTACTGCAGAAGGCAAGAGATCCTCATTTGTGAATTCTCTGGGAAAGCTAGTAGGAGCTGGAAGGTCCATTATATGTTTCCATGGTTTTCCAGGACATCTGCGGAGAGGAGATTCTGGGCGATCTGGCAACCCATTAAATAAAGAAGTATCGGGAAGAATTAGTGGTTCTGTAGGTGTGCTGGTTTCCTTTCCTGCAACCCCTAAGTTAACTAGCTCTGATGCTGTTTCGGCACTGGATGATGGGAGGGTTTCATTTTGATTAAAACCCCTTTCATGGGACTCCTCAGAAGACTTGGGGTTTGGATGTTTATGTTTAGCATTTTTACTGTGTTTTTTATGCCCGCACCCATGGCCAGTTCTGTGCCCACAGCCAATTTCATGCCTATGCCTTTTGCCAGACTCATGATCCTTTTTATATTCATGCCTGTGTTTATGCCCGTGTTTATGCCTGTGTTTATGCTCAGGTTCACCTTCACTTTCTGGTTCCTGTCCACCATCTTTTCTCGTCTCTTTGCCAGGTCTTTGCCTTTCTTCTTCATTTTTATCAGAGCATGAAATTTCATTTGGCTGGTCTAGCGTAGCAAAGGTTCGGAAAGGTGTGAATCCAGGAGGCCTTCTTAGAAATACACCCTAAAAAACATTGCAATAATAGCCATATTTGTTACATGAACAAGAACAATAGCTTCAGATTTGGGAAATTCAGAAGTTGGCTCATTGCAGTACATGAGTCACTTAGCAAAACTATGTTACCAGATTTTTAAAGTGAACTAAATAATTATCTTTTCTATCTGTGATAAGCATGGAAACATAAACATCCTCCCAAATAACTCCAGAGTATTTTAGCAGTTACATGTTAAAAGAACAATTTATATATCGCTGAAATTCTGCCAGTTTAACATGGGAATGATGCTATAGAGAGGAAAATGTGTACTGGTTTTAATTTATGAACAGTACAGTTGATTTCTAGGACTAAATGTCCCTGCACTTGTTAGAGTATAACACTCCGTTGTATAAAACCAATTTATGCTAAAGGCTAACACATCTCTGAGTAGTCTCAATATATAATCTCAAAATATTCAAAAGATCTGCGTCGTTTTGTTATATGAAATGTAACTATTCAATTTTTTGTTTGATTTGACATATGCATTTCATAAGACTGCTTAGAAATAACAGATATAGGTTAAAGCTGATAATATGAAACATTCAGTTGTTACTGAGTAATCTCTATTTCCCCATCGCTGTTCAACTGGAAGACAGAGACTGAATGCATGGTGTATAGTCACTATCCAACATGGGTTTCATTTCTATCCACCAAAGTGTCTGATCATTATCTAGCTGCAAATGAGAGTTGTTTGGGATGGAGCTAAATTTGAAAGTTGATGTGGATGCAATATTGTAGTGAAAACAAAGAGGAGAGACATTTATTAGTTGATGCATAATGAATAGGTAGTTATGAAAGTGCTGAGCACAGTGAAGTTATTAATTATGAATGCAAGTTAATCAATCTTACTTCATTCAGTGTATCTTCTCTTGGTCATTGGGGAGCATGGGAGTCCCTGCATTTATTAAAAAACCTGCAATCATCAGAACTAAAAAAGTTCTGATAATAAAAAAGATTTACATTCCATTCTGAAATTTTCAAACTGACCACGTTCAGGGCTAGTTAATTGTGGAGCTGGGCAGGAAGGAAACTGAAAGACCTTCCTACAGAGATTGACAACTCGTGGCAGAAGATCTGCTGCTCTACTAATATGAAAAGATTCACAGATGCTTTTGAAGTCTGTGGGGTATAATTATTGCGTTGCCAAATACATTTTTGTCTCAATTTTTAAACCTAGCATGAATAGTAATTCAAAGGACCTGGTGGGACTTGATACTTCAGAGCTTTACTGATAATGCAAGGGAGTAGTCAGCAGGCAGAATGTTCTGTCTGTCCTGTTGCCTTTGTATTCCTGTAATCACTGTGTTGTCTACTGTCTCACCTTGTGGTGAAACTGACTTTGATGTAACAAGTTGCTGAGGTTAGAGGGTGAGAGGGAGGAGTGTGGCATTACTGAGGTTATTGAAAGAACTGTGTGTTCCTTTATTTTTGGTACAAATATGGGATATTTTGGAATGGATAATGAATTTAATGACTGCCTTTGTTCTATGCTCTACTTATAATGATGGGTAAGGAAGAGGAATCATACCATTGACCGTTCTTTAGAGCAGTTAACCTGCTGGGGAAAGATTTTATTCTCCCATGGGATCACGTGAATCTGTGCTTCACATGGCAATGGTGCCTGTGGACAAAACAAAAATCAACACGTTAAGGCAACAAAACATCTGACACAAAGAGAGAGAGTTGTGCATGAAAAAAATATGTTTTTAAAATAATATTTCTAAATACAAATATACGTGGAACTTTACCCAGGTATCTATGAAATCCATCTTAGTGATGACGACTTCTGTATTGGGACACATCACTGCCTAGCTTTTTGACATTATAGTATGCCTGTGTGAACACTTTAATTGAGCTTTGGATTGGAGAGTGGATCTTGAAAAATTGGATTTTTCATCTGCAGCACTTTTGGAGGACTGACTTTAATCTTCATGATATTCCTAAGAAATATTGCTTGTTGGTGGTATTTCTTCTACTAAAAATTGGGAAATTGAGATAGAGAGAAAGGCAATTTTTTTCTATTTAGTGCCTGCTGCACTAACATTTTAAAATCTCACAGGTAAGCGTTGTTCTTTTACTGGTGGTAAAAGAGAGGGGACCAATTTCCAAACAACTTCCTTGCCAATGGTTTCTGGCCCTACCAGTGCCTACTCTCCAGCGTCTGGAACACATTTTCCCAGTATTAGCAGCATGCACTCCAGAAACATTATTCTTTTGCACACCAGTAACACTCCAGTCTCACGTTTTCCTTAGCTGCAAGTCCACAGAGTCAGGAGTATTGCAGCTATTTCATTTTGCAGCAGCCTCCTCCCCTCCTTTCTTTGATTCATTATTGTCAGAAGACAGTTCCTTCTGCTTTGCAGTGAGCACTGATCCTCCAGTTGGAGTGACTTAGTTTAAGCTTCATGTTTTACTAACAGTGTCACTGGCTTGGGTTACAAACAGTGAAAGGTGTCTTTGTTGAAACAAAAGTTTACTGAAAGAGGTAACAGAATTCAGGATGTGATTTTACTTAAGTGTTTACAATTTCTGGTGCAAATGAATTTGTCCATTAGGAACATTACAGTTGGCAACATCATTTCTTACACTGTCTGATGTGGCTTCACAGTCTTCATTAAGTTTTTCCAACTCTTTCTTTGAGCAGTTCGTCTTCCGGACTGAAAATGTTAAATGGTAGTTTTGTCCTGCAACCACCTGAAATATTAGCAAGAAGGCTTTCTGTGGTAAAGGCATTTTATTGAAAAGGGTTCACGGAAAGATGTTTTTCTACAAGCTTATACTACTCATATTCTACAAGTCCTGACCACTGGGACAACATATGTTAAGAACAATATTAAAATATTTGGCAGCAAAACTGTCTGCTTCTAATCAACTGATTTACTCCAGTTCCCATTCTCAAAAATTCCAGCATTGAAATTCAAGGAAACAGAAGGGTCAGAATAATACCAGGCCCAGAGTTTTGGCTTTGTTTTATTGGATGTCTGTGGTAATTTCATTAATAACAAATGAAATCATTAGAGATACTGCTGTAGAGAGCCAAATATGATGTAAGAAAAGTGGAATGTGAGTAAAATGAAGTGTGTGATGAACAGGCTCAGTTGAAAATGAACATATTTGCCAAATGCATTAAATAGAGAAACTGCATGGGTTCAAGGATGTGCCTGGTACGAGTTCACTTAGTAATTTTTACAGAGCCTAAGATAATATATCTTACTTCAGAGACGGCAGGAAAAACATGAAATTCTGTCTGTTTTAAGTCTATTTTAAATGTATGCTAATATCAATCATGATATGAAAAGTGAGAAAGAAGAAAAAAGTTTGAAAGAAGAAAAAAGGTTTAAAAGAAGAAAAAGCACAGATATTAGTACGATAACATGAGCTATTCAGAAAAACTCTGATGTGCTTTTAGTGCCTTCTCCAGTGATACCCCTCATACTCAGAAGTTGTTGACAAAGTATTTTCTGAACTACTCCACTGCCTTATTTTCAATTCCGTCCTAAACCTCTGTTTTGGTATGTTGGGACAATAAACAAGGCAAGTGCAAATGCTGACCAGTATTATCCTCTTGATTCCTTGTTCTTCTTTGTCGAGCTGTATTTATCTATATCTTAAGTTATGCACAGATGTTCGCTTCTGAATCTAGCTGGAGTATTATTAGCAGCAGAATCAGTATATAAATTAACAGATTTCTAAGGGAAATTGGGAAGCTCCATTTCTTGGACCTTACAGCTACTGTAGGGTGGACAGTGCCTAAAATAACATACAGAGTATTGGTGTGGTGGATCAAGTGGGTAGTTTCGTCTAATAAATGTTTTCTACTTTAACGTATGTTACAAAGGCTGGTAAAAAGTCTGGTAGATATACAGAAACCAGATACCCTATGTCAATCTTCTCATGCTTTTAAAATTGTGTTGTTTTAAGAAAAATTAAAAAATCAAGAGATAGGAGATTTTTAAATCACTACTGAATGCAAGCCAAGATGGATAAAATTTTGCAAGAAAAATTGCATGGATATTTCAGTTACCACATATATCAACACTTAGAGAAAAACATTATTCCAAATCTAAATACAAACTTTAGGTAACATTCAGCTCAGACCAATAACACTGCCATATCTGTTCCTCATCTCTGTGGTATATCCCAACCTGAACTGTTGCTTCTTCTATTTCTCCACCTTTATAGTAGAAATCATCATTGCTCTCCAAATTATACTTCTCCATAGAAACCTTCAGTAGTTCCTTCAGTTCTGGACTATCATTTGGGATAGTCTTTCGACAACCAGTGCGAGTGGCAGGAATTACCGTGTCTTCAACTGAAAGAAACCAACAGATTTAAGATCTAAGGAACAAAAGATTCAATGTAGATATAGGCTGGGAAAAACAGTTAGTTATAAACCCCTGCCTTCTGGGACGCTTTGTATTTGGGTCTATCAAATGAAACCAAAATACCTTCAGTTTTATGTGATCAACATTATCATATCTTGGTTATCTAAAAGAGCACTGCATCAGCACCAAGTGTCTCAGTGGACACTTAACAAGTTTCCTCATAGAAACAAGAATTGTGTGTACCAATTGCGGGCAGCTAGCAAATAAAGAGGGAACATCTGTACGTATGGAAGGACCTGAATCAGGTGGAACAAGACGTGCATGTTATTGGCAATGAATGAGTATGTTGAAGAATATCATTATCATTTCTTGAAGAAAAACAAATCTGAATGGGTGAGAATGGAGCACTTACTACATGGAGTAGTAAAAACACTTGTCGGAAGTGAAAAAAATACATGGTAATATTTCATTAAGAGGCAGTGCTTTTTTGGTCACAGAATAATTACTTTCTCTTGTTATTACCTGTTTTCATCTCGTGCGGTTTTATTTTGTCTTTTTTTACAATTGAAAGCATTGAAAATTGCAGAACTTTTAAAATTGATAGTGCCTATTACATACCTGGAAGCTTGCATTGGCTTGCAATATCTACGATCTGTGCGTGAAGGTTTTGATATGCTTTGGCATCACATTTACCTATACGCTGGAGTAAAAAAACCAAAACAGTTCCTTATTATTTAGAAATAATGAACAAGTTCACATCCTAATACCTTCCTGCTAACAGAATAAGTCAAGCATACTACTACTAATTCCTCTCTTCCTTCAATACACCAGGAGCAAGAAGCCTGACAGACAGTCTGCAGAGCCAATAAATGATCAGGGTTCAAAAGGACCACTCAGAGAAAATAAAACCATAAAAGAGAAGCTAAACGAACTATTTGTATATGTTCATTACAGAAGGAAATGGGGAGGTTTACAAGCCAGAATCCTATTTCGTGGAGAACTCACTGGAATTTCTGTCTCAAACGGTAAAGACCAAAAAGAAAATCACACAACTAACAAATCAAATGTTACTGAGTTTCCTGTATTTACTCAGGTGTTCTAAAGGAACTGTGGTAGATGACTTGCTTAAAATTGCCTTGATATCTTAGGGCTGGAAGAAAGCAGATGTTGATCCTGTTCTTTTTTAAAAAGGTTGTAGACCCATAAAACTGATGTCTGTACCATTCAAGTGATTAGAAATGGTAATAAGGAAAGAACTAGGAAGCGTGAATACATCAAGGAGAGACCGGGGTTTTCGTTGTAAACAGAAGTTGTATTTTGCAGATTTGTCGAAGTTCTTCAAAAGTGTCAACAAATGTGGGTAAAGAGGCCTGTTGATAAAGTATACGTAGATTTTCAGAAAGGTTTCAGTGAAGTCCCTTATCAAAGACTCTAAAGGAAACTAATCAACTGTAGAATAAGAAGAAAGATGGTTATAATTCAAGATCAAGATCTTAGCACTATGACAGATACTTGAAAATGTCATCCATAAAAAAATCTGCTTAGTAGTGGTTTAGAAAAAATAATAAAAAAATAATGTCAAGGCTTATTATCCAGGTTAAGGAGAATGACATTATGCCCCACTATAGCTCTGTGGTTCACATGCATGTTGAATACAGGGTGCAATTCTGGTCCTCCCATTTCAAAATGAATAGTACAGAGCTGAATGGAAGTATGGAACAACTTCCATGGCATTTGGTCATTCCAAGGTATGGAATATTCTATATATTAGAATATAGATGTGTATAGAATATATCATATTCTAATAACATCTGTTGATGATCTGTTAGCAAGGCTGCTTAACCGTTCAGGGGATAGATAAGTGATAAAGATCCGATCCCACAAACCCTGTGTGATCAAAGCGGTCTGTGAATGAGGTAGCACTCCTGCATGATGTGAAGTGAACAGAAGTCATTACCCGGTTAGCCAGAAACTCAGACTCAAGCAGATTAAGTAACTTCCTCAAGGTTTAAGGGCAAGCATGGGTAATCATAGAATCATTTAGGTTGGAAAAGACCTTTAAGACCATCAAGTCCAATTGTTAACATAGCACTGCTAAGTCCACCGCTAAACCATGTCCCTAAGCACCACATCTACGCATCTGTTAAATACCTCCAGGGATGGTGACTCAACCACTTCCCTGGGCAGCCTGTTCCAATGCTTGATAACCCTTTTGGTGAAGTCACCGCTTGTGATTGGCCGCCGACTGGATTTAACTCCATTCACCACAACTCTTTGGGCCTGGCCAGTTTTTTACCCAGCGAAGAGTATACCCGTCAAAGCCATGAGCAGCCAGTTTCTCCAGGAGAATGCTGTGGGAGATGGTGTCAAAGGCTTTACTAAAGTCTGGGTAGACAACATCCACAGTCTTTCCCTCATTCACTAAGCGGGTCACCTTGTCATAGAAGGAGATCGGGCTAGTCAAGCAGGACCTGCCTTTCATAAACTCATGCTGACTGGGCCTGATCACCTGGTTGTCCTGTAGGTGTCATGTGATGGCACTCAAGATGATCTGCTCCATAACCTTCCCTGGCACTGAGGTCAGACTGACAGGCCTGTAGTTCCCCAGATCCTCCTTCCGGCCCTTCTTGTAGATGGGCGTCACATTTGCTAACCTCCAGTCAACTGGGATCTCCCCGGTTAGCCAGGACTGCTGATAAATGATTGAAAGTGGCTTGGTGAGCACTTTTGCCAGCTCCCTCAGTACACTTGGGTGGATCCCATCCGGCCCCATAGACTTGTGTGTGTCTAAGTGGTGTAGCAGGTTGCTAACGATTTCCCCTTGGATTATGGGGGCTTCATTCTGCTCCCCGTCCCTGTCTTCCAGATCAGGGGGCTGGGTATCTCGAGAACGACTGGTCTTACTATTAAAGACTGAGACTTTAAGTACCTCAGCCTTTTCCTTATCCTTTGTCACTATGTTTCTCCCCGCATCCAATAAAGGATAGAGATTCTCCTTAGCCCTCCTTTTGTTGCTAATGTATTTGTAGAAACATTTTTAATTGTCTTTTATGGCAGTAGTCAGATTAAGTTCTAGTTGGGCTTTGGCCCTTCTAGAGGAGAAGATTTGCTTCTAATGGAGAGATTTGCTTCAGCTAGTCTGATTCTCACTCTCCTATTATTTACCACAGTGTTGTCATTCTTTCCTTTTTTGATCGATGCTTCTGAAATATTCTTGAGACATCCAAGGAGTAATTTTCAAGCAGGAGAGGCTCTTGAATGTAACGCTCAACAGTGCACCTCCACAACAGCTGAAACAGATGCGAGTCAGGACTCCAGTGGTTCCTCCCCTCCCATTTACCACCACTGTTTGTTATGACTCTACGTTCCTGGCCTCTACGTTGTTTTTGCAGAAGCATTTGTGTGACTCGAAGCTGAACTGGTTCAGGGAGGTAGGTTAAGAGAGCAACCCTCTGTTTTTGGTACAGTTAATTCTGTTCCAGGTCAGAGAAGCAGAGGAAGTACCTGGGTTTGCAACACTGTTTAGCTAGAGTATGTATGTTTGTTAATAAATTTCTTTTGAAGCTCTCTTATTTGGACTGTGGTAGAGGTTAAGTAATAATACAGCTACTTATTTTTCTTAGAAAATATGTCTTAAGCTGGAAAAACAGTGCTAATTCTAATTATCGCTTTTTGGGTTGTACATGAGTAACTCCTTGAATATCTGGATAGGAACTGCTCAAGGGATTTATTATTTGGGTGAGACTCTTTAGATTCTATAGAGTAATCTGTAAACATTTCAGTGGTTGTCTTAGTCACTGATTCAGGAGAAGGCATGGATGTTCTAATTACATAAATAGACAGTTATCTATAAGCCTGGATTTAAACTTCATTCACAAGAGAAGCAAGACTATAAATATTTTCTTAAGTCAGATCTCAGTGATTATTTGTTAATATGATATTTTCTTGATAAACAGATTTTGAAGATTACTTACACCTCTAAAAGTGATTTTGCACTCTGGAGTTAAATCTTGAAATTGGTTTTTGGAGCAATTAGTCTCCTCGATTTCATATTTAATTAGGTAATTCCATCCAGCTACCACCTGGAACAGATATTTAGGGGATACATTATGTAAAGCAATACAAACTTGGAAGTTAAACTATTAAATGTGATTAGCAAAGAAAGCAAAACTACTCTTCTAGTGCCTTCCATCCATCAAATCACTGTGCAGTCATTGAGCCATAGAGTATTCATGGACAGCAAAAAAAATCTTGTCCTTGTGATACAAAAAGTAAACTAAGTCATGCATATATTAGAAGTGCACTTTGTATTTGGATTCCACTTCTCCTGGCAAGCCTGCAGCCTCATAATGCTTGGTTTCTTGCACTTTCCTCCAAAGTATCTGTTACTTATTACTCGCAGTGACAGGAAGCTGGTCTAGATAGATGACTATACTAATACAGCTTGGCAAGTCCTACGTTCCTGAGCCTGAGACATAGTAAACCAGTATCTGAATAATGTAACTTTATACTGCTGGCATCATTTGTTATTGAGTGTCCTGCATTTATCATCCACCTACAATTGTGTCTGCCTTGGGCTTTACCTTCCCCCGCCTGCTATTTTGTCCAGATTTGAGACCCTTGTTTTTCATTTTTCTCTCCAGGAAGCAGTTCAGTTTTCCTCACTGTGGCTACTGCTTCTTACCCATGAAATCTCTCCATGTCACGGTGTTGGGTCAGGTAGCATTGGATTAAAAAGGGAAAATAAGAATCAAATATAGGAACTTTCCATCCCAGCTCAATTAAAGTGGAGGGCTCTGACTAGTCTCTGTTGGCCAGAAGTGACATGACAGTTCTCTTTCTAGCTGCTGGATTGCAGCCTGTGACATTTTGTCATGTGGCTTAAATGTTGTGTAAGCTTGTCCTCTTGTCAACTAAGAGGATTGTTTCCATCAGTAAATAGAAAGAGGACAGTCTGAATTAAATCACGGGTCAAATTGACATGAGACCAGGAGATGCTTTTTGGCTAAGTAAATATGTACACATTCAAAGAAAAGGGTCTGTATTTGGCATTGGGTTATATACTAGTTAAAAACCAAATAAGAAACTTAACTTTCTAGCAATGTCACACCAATCCATAGGAGAGCCTTTCATAGGGAAATAATTGTTGCATGGAATACCAGATGACACGGAATTTCTGTGACCTGAGCAGTCCTTTCTTGCAAAGCAGATATTCCTGTGTGCAGATATCTTTCAGCAAGTGACATGCTGGCTTTTTGTTTTTCTTACCCATTTTTCCTGTATGGGGTTTACCCATCCTATAGCATATAGCAGCTGCTGACATATGGGTCCTATTGCATTGCAAAAACATAGATGCCTGCTGCTGTTTGAGAGGCTGTAGAGTATGAGACATCTGTGCAGACTGGCAGTTTGGCACAGAACCTAGGAGAGATCTGCTCCTGCTGGAGCTTCAGGGAGAGGCCAAGTGGAATACCCGAGAGCATCTGAGATGACACAAGATGCCTGTGTCAGCAATGAATGCAAATAAACTGGTGCTAAACACTGGTTAGATGCAACTACAGATGAAGAAAAAATGTTTACTATCAGTTTGTAAAGTTGACAGCTCTGAAAATCCAGTAGGTAACCATTTATGATTCCTTATAAATGAAGAGAATTATTTACAGGGTCTACACTCTATATGCATTTTGTATGCTTTTATTATGAAATATAAGCTGCCTTAAAATCAGAAATGTATACATAAAACAACCAAGGTACCTGGTTTTGGGTTTTTTTGGTAAAACTTAGAGAAAAATCATACACAAACCTGTATTTTAGCTTCTTTTATTTCCACAAGCTTAAAAAGGGCGGGTTCAGCACTGTGCCTGTTAAACTTTTGAATGGCTTGTTTCAGAATTTCTGACACTTCTGAGCTGTCACTTGATATAGGATGGAAGCATCCAAGACATGTAGCTTCAGTAAGTGTTATCTTTGGCGTAGCTGGAAAGGAGACAAACCAAAAAATATAGGGCTTCATGTAAAACAGCGTCAAGTTTTAGTTTTTCCTATCTGGGAATGAGAGAAAAGGTTCAATGAGCAAGAACCTTTCCTGCTTTTAATTGGAGTGATCAGCCAAACCCACATTTCAGTTTCAGGGCCTGCAAAGACATTCATTGTGTTTAGAAACAGGCTTTGGTTTGTGGTGGTAGGGGCCATCCATGACATTTGGATCTAGGGATAGTTTCAGCAGCAAACTTCATTCAGAGGAGTGAGTTCAGGAGTCACTGAATCTCTGAAAAACCTTGCATGTAGTTTTGACACCACTAAGGAAGGGTCATCCCTCATTCAGTCAGGGAAGAACCAGTGGAGGCTACAACTAAGGAGATGTTCCTCAACAAAGCTCACCCACTGTGTGCAGCTGCTTACTGTCCTCCCCATGTTTCAGGATGGGGACTTTGACAGGAGTGTTTTGGCTCACCCATGTGAACTGCTCTGACTCTGAGCTCCTTAGGGACTGTAGTTGAATTATTCTACTGCTGTGTTGTTTGAACTCCCTCTGCTAGTCAGTTGGGCTGCCAGTTACCACTTGGTGTTACCTTCAGGCTTAACCAACTGGCTTGGCTGTGGATAGACAAGCTTGACAGGGGTGCTCAAACTTCTGTTTCCTACTACTAATCCTATTAACTCTCTTTCCTTTCTAGTAATCATGGATTGGATTTTCATAAATTAATTTTATAGTTCAATACATAAATTAATTTCATGATTCAGTGAGCTTGAGAATGAAAGTGGGACAATACGTGTTCTCTGTGGAATTGAAGTAAAATTTGTGTGCCTCATCCTCAGCTGGCATAAACTAGCTTTAATGGAGTTATGCCAGCTTGCACCAGCCAGGAAACCAGTCCAGGATCAATACGATCAAACAGTTCCACCAAGAAGGCTGAACAGTATGGTACCTAACATGGTGGGGAAATCCCTCACCAGTTAGGGTCTATTGTTTCACTCCTTCTGTTTGAATCCTTTGGATTAGATTTGGCTCCTCTGTACATTTGGAGTATCTCAGTGTAAGCAATACTATTTAGTCTTAGCTCTCCAAGGCGTACTTGAACAAAGTCTGGCCCTTCGTATTTCTAGCATCACTTATTTTGATTCAATAATGACAAATATATACATGTTATAGAAAAATGTGACCATGTTTTCAGGGAGTAATCACAAAGGAGATAATAAAACAGTACACCCAGTTCTAAACCAATTACGATCTCAGCATTTTCATAAGTGCTGAACAAATGTGTATTCTTTTTTCAGAGTTGCTATAACTTGGTAACAAGAGATGAGCTTCTTAGGCTGAATATGTGATTCATTTAAATTATGTTTGGTTTTTTAGCTTTCTAAGCAGAGATTCAACTGCAAATTCTCATGTATTCTCTGTGGGATTCACACACCTTTTACTGGCAACTAGATGTCACCATTGCCCTACAAATGTGTCTAAACCAAGCGGCGTTTATTCAGTAGCAGAACATGGAGTTTGTGTGTACTGCAGTTCCTAGAAGGACACTGACTGTAGGTATAGCCATTTAAGCTTTAAACAAGATAACTAGGAACAAAAAACAAAGATAAGCTGCCAAACATCTCAGAAATCACAGTAAATATTTCTGTACTTAATATGCACTTAGCTCCCTGCTACCCAGTTAGATGGATATTTTAAAACTAGCTTGGACATGTCTTACATGAACACTAGGCATAGGCACATAGAGATCTCAGTTGCAAAGCTTTAAAACAATGTGATCTCTTTCTAATAAAGGAAATTGCTATGTGAACATAACAGTCATATATGAATGTCTTATAGGCAAGAAATTTAGTACTGCTTATTGTTAAGGTCTAAAAGATATCACAGTCTCTCTTACATAATTACATCTTTGCTAGATTTTTATTTTGTAAATGAAATTTTGTTTTTGTTCTTTTTTTGGTTGGGGTAAATATTTGTTTTGGTAAACTTTAACAGAAATAATTTAGACATTTTTAGTTTGGAGGAAATTAAGGTACAATTTTGTCATATAAAGTTTTTTCCTAATAATTTCTGGCACAGTTTTATACTTGAATAAGTAAGGAGACAAAATTAAAGTGTGACAAGTTGTATCTAGTCTCTAAGTTACTGATACGCTTTTGGTCTTAAGCAAATTAATTTTAACTGGTATAATTCCAGTGTTTGAAAAAACTTAACTACACACGCATGTGCCGGTTTTCATTATCCTAGGTGGAAACTGCCAGTGCTTCACTGACTTAGCCTATATGTGTGTAACAGTGAAGTGAAATTTTATCTTTAACATGTAGTTGCTTATGGAAGATTATTTATAAATGTCTGAGTAGAATGATAAGGAGCTCCTACCTTTAAAATTACCTGAAAGTCTCAGTATTACATTTTTCCCATTCTTATTTGTCATACTTGTTGAATGCTGCCCCAGACAGTTACATACCTGGAAAAATTTTGCAATCTTGCGAAACATTACTTGTTTTTTCAGCATTATTCATGTGAACTTGAGCTGTGCATTCTCCTGTTTTCTGCAAAAACATATGACAACATTTGTCTTAAACTTGCTGAAGAAAAATGCAGTGCTATATATTCCTCTAGCTATTAAACAAAGTTGACAGTTGCAAATTGAGTTTGGGGAACAAGTTCATATGTACATTTGTAGTAATGTCTAGTTTGCTGTTTTGTTACTGGAAAAGGAACGGTTTTGTTGTTTGTGAGGAGAGTAGGGGGTGAACTGAGCAGATACTTTGAAAGATTGCTTTGTATCATGAACATGTATTAATGAACTAAAGAATTTACAGTCAGAATAACAGAAATGAACACATCCTCATAAATAAAGTCTGTATAAATTGTGTATTTACCTGATTTCCTTTCTGCTAGTACAAGATATACAGCAATGACTATGGCATTTCAGATTGATTCAAGTGATACTATGACTATCATCCCTTTCTTTGCATTGTGTACTGTGTGAAATAACAGTGACTTCCACTGGAAATGTGCAGTGTTCCTGCACGCTATGTGTGCCACAATTGTACCTCCTCTAGGTGCTCTCTAGTAGCATGAGCCAGACATGCTTTGCACTGCTAAAAGCTCTCTGGTAAATATTGTGCCATAGTGGGTTCCATGTCAGTTTTTTTGTTGGTGCAGATCTGAAGTCAATTTGGTTATGCAGGTTTCCATTATAGATAATTAATAGAAAGTTTTACAGCTCTCACACTCTCACAGTGCATGTATCTTATGTTGAATTTATTGTGAACCTTCATATTGTTCCCTTCTGCACATATTCAGGATTATAATGGTAAACTCACTATTATAATGGTTAACTGTAGAGTTGTAAACATTTCTGTACTGTACTTTAGTCCTATAAGCTCTCAAAAGCAACACAGCTAAAGAAGTTAAATTCTCTACTGTATTTTTTCCAAGTTGATTGCAGTCCTGGTCATTATGCTGATGTTTCTGTACGGAGAACTTTTAAAGAGGACGGATACTTACAGCCTCTGCAGGTACTTTGTAATCACAGTCTTGCCAGAGTTTGTTTTCCTCAGTGGCACAAGTGGTTTCTTGTATTCGATATTTCACATAGAATTGTGTGTCAGGACCTGCCTGGATAAAAACAATATGAATGTTATCATTTGCATAGTGATAGATCAAGTGAAAAGATAAGAGCTTCAAAAGGTAAATACTATCCATTGGTTACCTTATATTTTACAGTATGGTTTCAGATTAGCTGCTGGTCTCCATGCAAGGTCTCCCAAATCTTGGTAGTTCAATAATTGACTTATCTAATTATATTACTGAGCCCTTACCTACAATTACAATATATTGATACAATAGATACGCTATGCTCAACTACCTTCATTTTAACTTGTAGTACCAAGGGTTTTAAAACCAGAAAGAAGTGGTTAGGTTTTATACTCATATTCAAATGTACTCCAAATAAGCAAATTTGGGTTGCTGCTTGGATAGTTAGCATAATTACCAGCTTGAACTGTACTCCTGTCTGACTCCCTCACTCTCACTCTTGGCCTCCTCCCAGATCTGTCTACTTTCCTTCTGTACAACTCTACAGGCAGCTCAGAAACAGCAGCCAAGAACCCTCAGGCAGCCTGGCAGTGCCCAAACTGCCTTTACTCTATGGTAACAGGGTACTTACGCTGCTCTGCCTACTCGGGGGAAAGGGGCAAGGAGGGCATATGCTCTGGAGGCAGCCTTTGGCAGTGCCTGCAGTTTTCCTATAGGCATTAAAGGGTGAGCTGCACATGAGGGTAGCCTCAGGAATCCCATAAGATGAAATACAGACAAAGTATTAAGCAAACTTTGGTCTGGCCGGTGGAAGGGTTTCTGATGTTGGTAGATCAGTAGGGGGCATTTTCTCCTTGCCATAAACTGGGTAGTGAGCCTGTGCCTACAGGAAACATTAACACACTGCAAGGTTTGTGGTTCATCCTTTAGAGGAGATATAAAACCAGAAGTTACTAATCTTTTACAGCCACTAAAAGTGCCCTGCCAATGTGCCTTTTCAAATACAAACACAGGCAGTTGCTGTACTTTAACACTGGTTATCCTCAAATGATGCTGCTGGGAGAATTAAATGATAATTCTTGCCTTAGTGGTACCAAGAAAGTGAAGCTGAGCTGATGTGGGTGGAATATACTGGATGTATGCTGGTGTAGACAAAGAATTATATTCTGTGTTCTCTCAGTTCCTGTTGTGTATTGCTACAACTACGAAGAGTTGTGGAGGTACCTTGTATAATGGTTGCAAGTTGTAAAACAGAATGAAAGGGTCTCTAAAAATATAATGGACTTAGTCCTCAGCAGGTATAAACTGACATTTATGGAGCTGCATCAGATTATACTCTCTGGGATGTGGACTTAAAAAGAGCCAAATTCTGTTCTCTGTTACAGTGTTCTAAATCTGCAATAAATCAGCTCAGTGAGTAAACTAAATACCTGAGAAAAGACATTGTTTCTGTATGTTAGTTGTTGTTGGTTTATTTCATTATTATTATGAACAGCTATGCCTTTAACTGGGGCAGGTTCAGTCTTTTGCCAGTCAGCTTTTATGTTTTATTACCTTATCAATAATGAATGTACATGAATATGTAATAACCAGCTATTTAATTAATGCATTCGACATCGTGAGACTAGCGATGAGTAAAATCTATACTCTTTTTAGAGTTCTTTTAGAAAAAGAACATCAAATATGAGGAAATCTCTATTGCAGATTCCTTTTCTCTGTTTTTTACTTAACATCATAGTCAGATCCATGATTCAAACTAATAATTGATTTCCTTCTCAGATCTTTTAAGAAAAGGAAAGATGGATATCTATAGGAGGAAAGAGGAATAATAATTGCAATAAATATGTATTCTTAAAAATAGAACATTGTTTAAGATAAAATACTGAAACTAGTATCTGTCCTTTGGAAACATCAGCAAAAGGAAACATCAGCTCTGATATAAAGATGTTTGCATTTAGCTATTGTTAAGGATGTGTGTAGTTCAGTGAAGACAGTGGGACTACTCATTTGTTTGATATTCATTGTATAAAGGGTTTGCCAGATTAGTCTTTGTCACTGCATGCTAAAATCTCCCCGGTTTGAAAACAGGAAAACCAGAGTGTAGGTGCCAGGAGATGTGGGTAGTTTACTGTAAAGTGTTTAGAAATTCATGTCCCCTTTCTCAGGTCAATTTCTATCTGGGTAAAAGTGTCTAGTGATTTTGGAGTGCAAAATATTCTCTCTGACACTGGGTTTCTTGTGTTTTACATCTGAAAATCCAATCCAGTAGAAAAAAATGCTAATGTTGTTTTCAAGTAAAGTAATGCTTGTCATTATTATGGTAATATCATCTTTGTATGCCTCTCAGAGGTAAATACTCTTTTGTTAGATTAACGCTATACAGAAGGACTCCAGGCAAAGGATCATGTTTCATTCTTTTTTTCTTCTGTAATTTTAGCTGTCACCGTATTTGACTAAAATACCACCTAGTGCTTTTAGATAGATCTGTGACTCAGGACTAGTGTCAATCAAATAATAATCACAAACAATTTTTTCAGAGTATTGGCAAATTTTATCAGGTCATTCTTTTTTATGTGCGATACCAGCTCTTCCCAAGTCAAGATAATATTCAGTTTTTTTAGCAAGTGTGTTTTTGCCATTGATCTGAAAACCTTACTGATAATGGAAAGGGGTAGAATTCCCAACAGAGAAAGGAGAAAACAGAGTGGACTAGTAAGACAAATTGTATTAGTGATAGAAATTTTCTATTCTTTAGTCCTTGCATTAATAAGCAATTCACCAGCACACATAGTTCCATTGATAAGAACATAATATACATCCTGCTTGTTATGGTAACGAGTATCTTACCATGCAAGTCATTCCTTTGATTTTTTAAAACGTTTTTGGAAGACACTTTGCTGTCATGCTTGCTCTCTTATGAACAAGACGAAGATAATCTGATTCAGAGTGCATAAACAATTCCAACTTTTTTTTTTTTGCAAAGTCTACTTACAGTTCTCTTGGCTTCCATCACCATGTATAGAGCAAATTGATTACCAGTTGCTCTCTCTCCATTGTATTTCTTCAGTGCGGTGTCGACAGCTTTAAAGACATCAGGATCATCACAGTCCAAAAACTCAAATGGAAGAGGGGTGGCTCTACTAGACAAAAAACTACAGCAGAGTGCTAATGCAATGAAAGGTTTCATAACTGGACAAAAAAGGCCCCCTGAATTAGAAGGCTCTTTAAAAACCAAATGGAAAAGGAATGCCTGACAGGGTTTTAGTCACCTCTTCTGTTTTTCAGGAGCAATAGCTAAGTAAACAGAATGAGTGGGTTGCTGCGGTTGGTTAGTTCTCATCATACCCTGTTTATACTGCAAATAAAATTCTGAGTTTATCTAAATAAACTGTGTGGTCACCAGAATGACACTAAGGTTATCCACCTGCCATCAAGATAACAGGCTAAATAGCTGCAGGAGAGGACAGGTTTAGACTAAGCAGGATGGCCCCTGAACAAAAGAGAAAGCAGAATGTTTGTAGCTTTCTGGCTTCTTTTCTTAACATCTAAACTGCTACTGAGAATGAATTTTAGAAGGCTTAAACAAAACACCCAAGAAGGTCACAGTGGTAATGAAGTTCTGGTTCTGGACAACAACCTTGTAAATTTTATAGATCTGTTTAGTGTTCAGACTGCAATAGTTCTGAGAAGTCAGAACACGTTTGAAAAAAGTCTTTGGACAGATGCATATCATTGAATGTCACATAACTCTTCAACAACACTTGATAAACCTTGTCCTTCACGCTACTATTGGAAGTGTCCATCTTTGCTGCCATGTGGAGACTGCATTTGGACCATGGATTAGTCAGCCTTCATAATGTTTTGTTATCGTTACAGATAGGGAAAGTGATGCCCAAGAACAGGGGATTAAGTAATGTTGCCTGTGTCTGGCAGAGCCAGAATTAGAGCTGGCTGGGAACATCTGGTGCTTGCCTCCAGTGTTAAGCACCGAATAGCTTTGCTTTGAATCTGTGAACACCTTGGCATTGCCTCAGCTCCAGTGTTCCAGTTGTGTCTTGCTACAAGTTTTGGTTAAAGAAAATGCACTTTAGAGACTTTGTAGATAAACTATGCCAGAAATAAGGATGTTCGTACATGATAACGCACTTTTAAAAATTAGACAACCTTCACTCAGTTACACAAAATGCTGTCCCGTTTTGCTTCTTTTTCTTCAATGTAGCCCTCACACTGTATTTTACTTTATGCCATTAAAAAGCTACTTGGAGGACCAAATTACTAATTTTTTGAGATTAATCCCATGTTCTTGGTTATGAGATAACTGTCTGGACTAACTCATTGGGGTCCCAGGTCTGGCTGAATGGACTTTACCTTGATGGGGGCTAGAGTATAAAGAGACACCAGTATTCTTTCTTACTGCTCCTCCCAACTCAGTTTTCAGTGAGGAAGGTTCAGTGATAAAGAAAACATTTACATGAAAGGGTTATTACATGCATCTGCTTTTCTCCTCCCCTGAGAGGAATTACGAGCTATTTGAAAAGGGCTGTCCTTGAATGCAGTATTTCTGGTATATCACCACCAGCAACTGTAGCAATGGAAGTACCTGTGCAGGCCACCCTGCAGTGTTACACTACAAGTCATTAACTGTTCTCAGACCTTTTCTAGATAATGGTGGTAACCCAACCACCATTAGTCAATTTATGCTAGAGTATGCCTCATGGATGTTTACTGTGCTGCTAAACATCCATAGTAACAAAAAAGACAAAACTTTGGCAACTGTGTCAAGAAAAAAAATGCTTACATATTTTTATTTTCTTTTAATCTTTATAAAGCATGAATGTAGTGCCATGGATCATTTTTTATGAAAGGTGTTTAGGTTTCCTCTAGGTCAGATTTCCTCAGAGAAGTACATTATAATTATGAATTATGAGAAAATGAAAGATTTTAGATGGTAGTTTTCACTATTAGGGAATTTTCCTTTTTGTTAGAACTAAAGGAGCATTGTTTGCTGGGGAGGTTTGTACCCATTCACTTTATCTGAGGGCCTCAGAACTTTGAGCCTTTCAGTTACAGTGGAGTCTGAGATAGCTGGGATCAAGAGGCAGGTTGGAATACTTGTCTTAATCATTATTTTCAGTGCTTCTCCTCCCTAGAAATTGTATGCTTTTTCCTCTTCTCCACGTGCTGTTTTCATTCATTGTACAACTGTCATTGGCCCTGCAACTCTCAAGCCAGGAACATCTTTCTCTGAGATCATATAGGAGAATTTTCTGCCATGGAGCTATGTGGAAATAAAGGCAAAATTTTTGGAAGAACAAGTTTGGGGTTTCCTGGGCATGACTTTGATTGTGTAGGGTGATCTGGAAAACCTGGAGCTTCTGGTATCTCCTTTAGACTTGAGCCAGTGAAGGGAATACCTTCACCAGTGCTGGAGGAGTGAGGTTTGCTTTGGGATAGCTCAGGAAAGTTTGCAGTGGGAGGTGTGAGAGAATCCTGCTGATTTAGAACTGGAATGCGATAGACAGCTCCTCTTATTTGGAATGGAAAGTACTTTCCCAATATTCTTGTCTTGTTGCAGTGATGTCTGTAATAGTGATGACAGAGATGAGGAGGGTGTCCTGGAGGAGGAGGGTGCTGTGGTCCATGATGGGGAGGAGGATGGTGGTGATGTCGTCCATGAGGAGGGGGAGGACAGTGTGGTCCATGATGGGGACCAAGAGGAGGATTGTGTGGTTCATTATGGGGAGGAGGAGCAGAAGGGGGATGTTGTGGTTCCTCTTTGGGAGGAGGATGTGGTCCATCATGGGGAGGAGGAGGAGGGTGGTGATGTGGTCCACCATGGGGAGGAAGTGGAGAACAATGGTGTGGAGGGTGAAGGTGGTGATGTGGTCCACTGTGGGGGAGAAGAGGAGGAGCAGGTCCTTCATGACTGTCTTGATGGTCTTCGTTGAAACTATGGTTATGCTCAGGGTCTTCAGGTCTGGATTGGGAAGAAGGTGGACATCCATGCCTGTGACGATGTCTGTGACGATGTCTGTGACCAAAATGATGATGGGGATGGGGATGTCTGTGTGGCTGTCCCAGAGTTGAATATCTGCATCTTTGCCCATAGTCATGCTGCTGTTTATAAAAACACCAGGGGAGGAAGTATTAAGTGAGATGTTAATAGGACAGAAGAAAGTGGTGAGAAAGAGAGGTGGGAGTTAGTAGGTTTGCATTTACAGTTCCAATGATCTGTAAGGAAAAAAAACTGTTTTTTTTTCAAGATAGAAGAGAAGGAGTAGATGACAAAATGCCAAATTACTGAAAATCATCTGGAAATACTACACCGTAACAAAATGAAATGATAGAACCAACTGAGCAAAATTTGTGATGGATCAAAACAAAATAAAACCCACACTGGAGTAGCTGTTGTAATATAAACTGGAATACCAAATATGATAAAGATCATCTCTGCTCCTCTTGCTTTCTAAAATTCCTTTGAACTTGTTTGCCAATCCCTACTCACTTTAACTAAGGAGTATGATTGGGCTGAGAGAAGACAGTCTTGGAGGGAGTAGTAGGGACAGCTCAATTCTAATTCATCCTCTGATTGACCCAGCAGACAAATGCCAATCTGTCCTGACATGCTGCATCATACCCAGGCAGTAATAAAGGGACATAAACAACAGTTGCAATCATCTGTCAGTCTGGACTAAGGTTGCTGTAGCCTGCATGAGGATATAGCCAGAGACATTTCAGTCAGTGAGTGCATACCCAGGGATGGTAGATTTCACAGCTTATATCTGTTCCATCAGGTTCATCTGGATCACTGATAATTCTTGCCTTGCAGAATCCCACGTGCTAAGCAAAAGAAAAGAAAAAAAAGCAATGCACATCTGGGTTCTTGTGATGGAGTTAACAGAAGCTACTGAAAGTTGAACATTTTAAAAGTTAGGCTAGTTCCTTCGATACCTAAGTATGTTTACATAACTTAGCTAGGTCCTGAGCTTTCTGACCAGTGATACTTGCCAGTGATTAATGATGATTAAAATATATGACATTTTTGAGTGTCCTTGACTGTGAAGACCACTTTGCCATGTGCATCTAGAGGGCTACTACTCTCCATCTTACTTCTCTTTTGATGTCTGTAAGAAATTGGTCAGCTACTGATATCTTCAAAACGAGTACCCTGTGGGTGACTGATTTTTATTCCTTTTTTCCTGTCTTTGCTTATCAAACATCTGTTCAGATTGGGCTATTCAGAAATTTTACTCCAAGTCCTCAAAAACAGACACTGTGTAGCTATGCTGTTTCAGACAAAGCTCAAGGTAGAGCTTTCTTCCATATTTATTTTTTGAAAAGTAATTTGTTGTAATCTTTTAGCATTACTTCCTTTAGCATCCTGTTTGCTGTGACTTTCACCTGCTGTCCAGTCGTCGTGTGTGGAATTGCTCGTGTGAAAGAGCACAGAACTCGGGTAAGGGGTTCTGTGTATGCTCTCTGTAGTGGATGCTTTATCTTGATATATGTTTGGGCCATTAGTAGCTTATTATGATCAATGATTACAAATGTTAATAGCATTATATACACACACACCAGTGACAGCATTGAGAACAGAATTCGAAACCTCTAGCTGTCTGGCTTGTGCTTCATTCTAGTGAACTTTTGGCTCTGCTACCAGTTCATTCACAGCCTTTTCCAGTGTTCTGGAGTATAAAGAGCCAGAGAAGAAAACAGATGTAGATTAAAAAAAAGTTCTACATGTTTTATTTTTTCCATATTTCTATATAATTCCTTCAATTTCATTTCTGGGGAATAATTTATTCTGAAATTATGATCTCGCCTAGTTGTTTCTTTGATGTAGGCTATTATTGTAATGGAAAGGTGGAGTGAGGAGAGTACTTTGATGGTAATCTGCAGACAAGCTTGAATTATTCCACTCTCCATTCCCCTGCAGCAGAGGAAAAAAAAGTAGCCCTGGGCTCACTGGGATGACATAATACATGTGGGTTTTTTCAAGATCTATGACTCATGTTAGTGTAAAAGTTTTTATGAAAATAGCATGAATGATTTACTAAGGAATGGCTGGATTTTTAACTTTGAGTTTGGGTGCATGCTTTCAAGAAACGCTTGGAAATATTGTGGGAAGATCTTCCTGGTGCCACCCGTTGTATCAGTTCTCATTCTAAGACTTTACTTACAGCGTGCCAGTCATCCAGTAAATCACATTCCAATGCCTGATCTGCTTGTTTTGCAGATTTGGAGCAGTTGGTCTCTTTTATAGAGAATCCTAAAATGTGACTTTCACGGGAGGCAGCCTGAAACCAAGAGGTCAAACAAGGTGTATTTAAAGTCCTGTAATTTTAAAAGCAACCATACTTCATATTGTTGTCAAAATCCTGTCTATCTCATGCTTTCATTACCTGTGTTTTTCAAATGTTCATACATATATACATATACACATATTCAGTAAGGAAAATAGATTAGATAATTTATACCTTACTTGCCTCACACCTTTATGAGTTCCAGAAATGGTTGCTTTATTTCTTTGTCTAGTATGTGTACGTTATAAAACCTGTTACTTTTACAGCCTGTATTCTTAGGAATTAGCATCCTTAGAGTCTTCTCCCTAAATTGAACTGCTGCTCCTGTAAAAATACAGAGATCTACTGGATGGCAACCACGCCTTTCCAGTCGTGGGAGTGCATAGTACTACAGTGCTGATGTTAATGTGGGATGAAATTCTGCCAGTTACTGTGAGATTGTTACTTTCTCTGTTGTCTTCATAGAGAAGACATTACTCCATAAGAACATGGGAGAAGGCCTTTGTGATCCTATTAAAATCCATAAAGAGGTGTTTCATTTTAATTTCCAACTGTAGCAGTAGTTTGTTTCAAGTCTGTGTTGAAGGTGTCCATAGCATGTGTGTGCACACAAGTTTCACTAGTTTAACTAAATTGGTTAAAAGTGGATGCACATACTTTATGGGGTTTTTTTTAATCGTAATTCATAGTTTCTAAGTGTTATGCAGTCTGTTGAAATCCAGTGGTACAATCTAAATTGTCACTGTAGCTAAAGACAGCAAAGTGTGCAGACAAAGAATTTAGGGAGAAATCCATAAATCCAGGCAATCTGAAAACAGCCACTTGCTAAATGAGAGTAGAAATTGTGGTCATGTGAGAGTTATACTTCAAATCACCCAAAGAATAAGTCTTCATGTCAACATCACTCAAAGATGGAGGAGTTATTTGCCAGAGCCAGTCATTCTTCAAGAAGTACAGCACAGATACAAATTTACCTCCTGTCCTTCAGAGCTCTTAGAGTGCTGCTTTGCTCTGCAGCAGAGTCAAAATGATGCTGAGCGTGTTCCACTTTGTGTTGTACCCATGTGCTAAATATTCTAAGAGTAAAAAATTATCTGACTTCAGTTGACAGAATGTACGGCTGTGATAATACACATGACTGTACATCTTGAACTCAGGTCAGTAGCAAATAAACTCTTGTGTGTTATGATATGATAGGTAAATAGGCATTCAAAATAAAAATACGCACACGAAGAAGGCTCTTACATTTTGGATGCCATCACACTGCCATAGTTTTTAGCAGATGAGAAATCCTTTTGCTTTCACATGCCTAAATGAAAGTTGATAACAAGTCTTTGCAGAAATAGGACCTTCAGTTTTAAGCAGATGATTTGAGAGGTGACAAGCAATAGTTCTGTTCCTAAAAGGGCTTGAGTTCTGGTCCCATGGTTTTGGAGCGGCTCACAAAATTTTGTCGTTTACAAGTAATTCTAGGACAAAATGCCACTTACCATTTTTAAAATCTTTTCAACTTTGTCCACATCAAAGTAGTTTGTCTGGTTACCCTCACTGTTGAATTTCTCCAAGGCCTTTGCAGCAATATTTTTATGTTGCTCGGTGACTTCTAAGACTTCAACTTTCACAGGACAATCTTTGCACTCTAATAAATCAGGAGGAACTGTGAAAATAGAGAATTTACTAATATTGCAATAGATATTAATACTCTTGGGAGTGTGCATGTGCCTTTAATGTGAACTCATAATGGGAAACAGAAATGCAAGCTTTTCCTTGGAAGTGAAATACCTATCCCTCACTCCGCAAATATGGGTTTGTCCTCTAACATGAAAAAACCCACAAACCTGTGAAAATGAGTATTCTTATAAATCTTTTAGCTCCACCTTAGAATCTTACCACCCCAAACGGGCATTCTTTCCAAGTTTACTTTTTTTCTGATATTCATTGTCATGTTTTGGTGGACTGGAATGGTGATATCATCTGACATTAATAAAGTCTGCTTTAGAAGAGTAGGGTAACTTTGATTCTATTACTCATTCTTAACATTCCATTTGAATTATCTAAAATATAAATTGCAAGCAGATGAATGAATCTGTTACGGTTACCATACACTAGTAGTGCATAGACTTGTAATTTGGTACTAGGGCTGGTTTGAGGTATGCATTGGCTTACAACAGTGGTTATTTTACCTGGACTTAATGTACAATTAAATCCATATAGTTGAGGTTTCTTCAGCAGCTGGCTTGTATATGTGATAATCTTACATTGCCCAAAGTCCTGAGAGGAAAAAAGAATATGTGATTATGATGTTATTTTCACTGGATTTAATTGGATGTAGGTGATCATAGAAATTATGCCTCCTTTTAACGTACAGTACTTCTAAGAATAGCAGATGTGGTCATTAATGGAATGTTTGACCTGGTACCACTCAAAATTTGTGTTCAGATAAAAAGGGATCTCCCTCTACAAGAGGCTTTATTTTAATTCTCAGTTTGCACGACTGAGTAGGCAATGGAAAACTAAACCAGCCTTCTCGGTCATTCTAATACTTATTTACAGTAAGATAATACTAGCTAGCAGGGGAAGTTAGGATGCCAGAGATACTCAAGGTTACATAAATCTTTATCAAAAAGTGGATGGACCTTTTCTTCCATTCCTTTTCCCCATCTTAATAAAAAGAGTAAATGCCTTGTGTTCTCTTCTCTTGTCATGGCCTTTCTGTTTTGTCCTGTTTAAATAAAGTTTTGGACTGGTAGTTCTCATCCCAGGCTGGTGGTGTTAGTGACAAAAATATAAAAGTGCTTCAGATTAGAAAAGTGAACAGCCCACTGAAGTGACCGGGGTTGCATATTTGTGCAGTGTTTAGTGTCTTTATCATCTACTTACATTTGTTGCCAAAGTAGTCAGAATAGGAAGAAAATATTCGCAGCTGCTATGATATGTCAATAATAGGTCAGGGCTGGGGTTAGGGGATGTAGTTTAATAATTGTCTGTTGCATTGGACTGCAACAATAAAGGACAAGTATTACGACATATCATATGTGTACTGATACTACCAATATTTTACATTGTCATACCACAAACGCTATGACAGAAAACTGACAAAATATCATACTGATATACTAGGAACATGCTTAAAAAAAAATTTCTAGTGCCCTTCAGTTGTCAGCAAATTATTCCTAAAACATCAATACTGCTACCAGCAGTGGAATGCGGAGTATAGCTCCTTTGAGACAACTAGTTAAATAAAGCTGCACTTATTTGAGGAGTCAGTCCTTTTCCAAACCTTTAGCTTATGTTTAACAACTCTAGAACTCAATAGATTTTATTTTATAGTGAGCCATATTACAGCCTAGTCTTCACTTAAGGATTTTGTGACACTGAAATTTCTGGGCAGTTCAGATGAAGATCAAGTTAATGCATTATTGACATATGACTCTGCCTGGGTGCCATTACTTGCCATGGAATAGGTGTCACTGTATTCACAAGACTCCCAGTGTCTTCTGGATAATACAGAGCATTCAGTTTCCAACACATCCAAAGTTAAGTAGAGGACTGATGAATTTCCCTGGAAGAGAAGTGCGGGTAAAAAAAAGTTTGTATACAAGAAGTCTGGTCTGAAAGAAACTTTTTTTGAAGTAGATATGTTTAATCTTTAATGTAGCTTCCCCAGTTCCCTATTAAGGTTTTTCTGAGCTGACAAGCATAGAAAGGGTTTAGGCTGGAAGGAACCCTTGGAGGTCATCTTGCCCAGCCACTTGCTCAAGGCAAAGCTAACTTCAAAGTTAGATTCGACTGATTTCTATATATCACCAAGACAGATGTTCCACAACCTCTCTGGGCTGTTCCAGTACTTAACCACTTTCTCCATGGTTTTTTTTTGGCCCTACATCTAGTCAGAATTTCCCTTCCTGCAATCTACAACTGTTGCCTCTTATCCTTTTATTGAGAACCTGTGAGAAGAGTCTGTTGTTAACCTGGCATCCATCAAGTAGGGAAAATGCCAATGTTAAAAAGTTGCCATTCCCTCTTTCCGATTTTCACGTAGAACATATTGATCTATTAGGAAATCAGTTGTCTAGGCAGCCAATTATATAGCTACATCCATTTCTAATGACCTTAGTGGCTAGATACTCTTTCAGAACTTTGCTTCCTGCTCGGTTTATTCAGGGAGTGATGCAACAAAGCTGTAAAACCCTACAAAGTCAGGAGCCTTAGCTCTGAAATTCTTCTAGTATGTTCTGTCTCCTGAGCAAATAGGATGGAGAATCAGAATTTGAATTTGGCTGCCAGTGTAATGGAATGTGGTGTTAGGAATTATTGGTGGCCCACAGAAACAGTTTTTTATTTTTCTGCAGGAAAATGAATCTCAATTCACATTTGGAATGGATTATTTAAACTTCATGCAACCCCTGTATGGACATTCAGAATGAACACAGACATATTTTATTTTGTCATTTAGATAAAATGATGCAAAGCCCTTCACTGTGAATAAGTATCCTCAGGTTTTATGAAATTACATCTATTCAGACTCCTTTTTCAGTTTCTGTATAGATGAGACCTTGAGAAAGAATTACTGCAGTCTAGTGTAATATTTTTATTAGTAAGAGTCCACCAGTGTAATGTTAAATACTAGTTTTGCAGTATGTGTATGTCTTAGCATTGTCTCTCTTTTTAAAATAGGGGCTAGGTGATTTGCAAAGACACATGTTATTCAATGGCAGAATCAGGAAAAGAATATAGTTGTCCTGGACACCCATCCTGCCCACTAGCCACATGATTATTCTCTGCTTAGGGGTAGTTAGTCTTTCTCTTTTATTTTATAAATCCCAATAATTTCAAGCTGTAAACATATTAGTAAAATGCAGACAGAGAAGAGAACGGAGACAGTGAGAAAGACTATTTTTTTCTGATTTGTATTTATGGAATTGCACTGAATGGAAAGGTAAGATATGTAAGATAGTGTTTGTAAAATGTGCTATTCACTAGGAGCCCTTTAAAACTGAAATGACTAAATTCACTTTGTCATCCAAACTTGTGAAATGCTAAAGAAGCCAATTCATCCCTGGCAAATACGTATTTTCTTCAGCGGGATGCATTTGGATTCAATAAAATCTAAAGCGGAGTTTGGGTGAAACATCCATTTGTGTCTACATCCAAATATGCAGTAGAAAATTCCTCTGTTTGTCTGCTGGATAGCTCTTGGAAAAAAAAAATGTTGGTGCCTTCTTGGTTGTTTTAGAAGGATCTTGGGCACCGGAGTTCTGCACTGCACAAGCCCAGAACTGTCCTAGTGTGAATACTTGAGTATCTTACGCTTCTAGAACTCCCATGTAAACCCAGTAGAGATCTGGCTGCTAGGAATTGCTCTGCTTAAGTTTCTAAGGGGGTTGATGTGATAGACTTGATGCACACTATGGCATGGAGATAATAAAAATAATGTTCTGGTCTTTTCTTTTTTTCATATCTTTTTTTTAATGTCATCTTGGCAGTGGAGCCAACATAACTTCTTGCACAATAGTGTACATGATCGGTATGCAGGAGTCCACACCTGGTGGCTTTGGGTCTGAGAAGGTACAGAGACCTTACAGGGAGAATTACTTAGCAGTAGGATAGATAGAAGGGTCTTCTCTGTTCTTATGGACTCTGTGTGATAGCTGAAGCTGTGGCCCTGGACTCCAAAGTCAGCAAAATTCATTAAGGGTACAAAGCAAAACATAAGCATGGTAGTCTAGTGGTTATAGCATTCATTTGGAAATGTGAATCCTCGGCTCTGACCCCTATTGCAAGTTATGGTTCTACAGTTTATATAGTCAATAATCAGTTAAAATGTAGGAACACTGAGATTTTTCTTTTTAGAAACAACTATGTTTTTTCTCATTCATCCAATGAATTTTGCATGTCTTACTGCCCAGTGGCTTCACTTCACAGAGGTGGCACACACATAGCTGCATGGCAGCAGTGTTCTTCAAGGACGGGAGACCTGAGGGTTTAAATCTCTTAATGCTGAAGAAGACTGATTGCTTCCTAGATAAGCCCTTTACTACCTGGCTATGACGTAAAACCCAGTAGTATCACTTGCCACTTCCTTGTCTTTGAAAAGCAAAATAATCCATCAGGTTTTTTGAAAGTATGCCCAAACACCTGTAGGAATCTGGGCTTTGGGTCACTTTCTGAGCTTTTTCTTGTAAACAGGCAGTCTTAAGCAGCTTCATCAAAAACTAGCCTGCTTTTTCAGCTGCCATACTGAGATGTGTAATACACTTCTTAAACAGTGCATGTCTGCCTGGATTCTAGTTTCATAGCCAAGCAGCTAAAAGGTAGCCAGGTGCATTATTAAATCTGCATGTCCTTGGTCTCTTTTGTCTACTAGTTAAAGAAATTTTGTATTCTGTTGCTTTTTCTGCTATTGATTTGCTTTGACATTTAGGTAATCATTGAGAAAGGCTTATGTATCCTCTCTAGGAAACAGAAATAAAAATAGGAAGGAAATAGGAAATGACTGATATGGATTCTCTATCCAGCCCTTCCTCTGTTTTGCTGAGTGGCATTTTCATCTCCTTCGGCTTCCTCTGCCTTTTCCCCTTCCCTCCAGTTATCCAGCTATCTCCAAAATTAAGATAATAACAAAATACCAATCTTGCAGGATACATTGATCTAATTAATGTTAGACATTCGCAGAATAGGAAACCCTCCAAATATAAATTTTGAACATAGCATCTGAGATCTGACAACAGACAGGACAGATTAATGTCCGGTGTGGTATAAAGCTGTTCAGAGCATCTCTTACGCTAACATCCTGTCAGCCAAGAGAATAAAGGGCGTTCAGCATAGTTCGAAATCAAGTTTACGTATAATAAATCATGCACAAATGAATACTGAGATAGTGTAAATCAGAGCTGATTCATTGAATTACATCAACATTGCTCTGTTAAAAGCAATAAACATAAGCTTTTAATGATCTGGCTCATTATTTTAAAATCACAGTCTTGTGTAAATCAGCCTTTAAATTGATACTTACTCTGTGTAGTTCTTGTGCATCAGCAACACGGAATAAACCGAAAACATAGCCATCTCTGCGATGTCTGTTGACCAAATCCAGGGCCACTCCTGCATCTGTTTCAACGGTTTTACAGTCTGCAGGTGTAATGCTTGTTTTGTTTTGGGCATTAGAGTACTGCAGTAGTGTTAGGAAAAAAGCTGAAGCTAGAAGCAGCATTTTGTTTGCGGTGTTTGGTCACTTCTGCCCATGGTCTGATAAAGCCAGTAGTCTGCTTTTAAATCAGAGTAGCCCACCGAAGTTATAAATGAATGCTAAAAGGGCATGGTTTTACATATATTTAAGTGTTGTGTCACAGGGCCATTACCTTGACCCTGGATTAACGTTTGCAAACAGCAAGTAAATTATTATATAGTGATTGAGCAGATTTTGAGGAAAGTAGGCCTTATAATACTCTCTGGACTACCCATCAAAGGGACTATGTTTGTGATTCTTTAAGCAGGCATCGTGCAATAGTGTTTTACTATGAAAAATATTTAGCTTCTAACGGTGTGCTGCTGAGCCTGGCATTAAGAAGGTCCAGTTTATGTATGCAGATATTACGCAATCTTTGTTTTCTGTTTACTGTAAAAACTGAACTGTTGAACTGAAAATATGCTGAAATATTTGTGGTCAGATGATGGCTATATCCATATCCCTGTTTTTACAGATCCTTACCTAGCAGAGAACTAGTGAAAGGGAAACAAGGATGTCACTCAGATTTGGAAAAGGGATGTAGCTCAAGGTATACTTGCAAGCTGGTGGTCCATAGTTTCTATGTGAGTACCTGCTACTCTTCCAGCTTGAGAAAATTTAGAGCAGACTTCTAAAAGCTTTACATCATTTCAGATTGGTACACAGAATGGGACTGGCTGGCTTAATACTGATGTAATGTAGGCATGGCATGAGGCCACGTAAAGCTGCCTTCGCTTTCTCAATCTGGTAAGTTTTGTGTGCTCTTTGGCTGTAGTAGCCTTCATAGACTTCTTCAGAGAATTGCTGGTAATTTTTTTGTATTTATTAAAATAATTGAGTACATACTAAAATTCATACGTTTCACAGGATATCCTCTGCTAAGCAGAAAGGAGAAGACGTCTCATTTTATTAAAAATCTTTTATTCAGGATAGTTTAAGACATTCTTAAAAGACAGTAATTGCTTGTCAGGGAGTGGCTGAAGTTTGAATACAAAATTCAACCTCTGAGTAAGAAAATACAAAAATTCAGTGTGAGCCCAAAATGACTGACAAAAGGTCAGATTCAGATGAGAAGTTTTCCGAATCCTGGTTGGTGTGAAGGGTTGGATCAGCTTCTCATAGAAAAAGGTGCTAGCTATATAATTGACTTGGGTTTACACGTTTGGCTTTGAAGTTTTTCTTCGACTTATTTTTGTGAGAAACATCGGGAAATATAATGGGTAATCATCCTTAACCCTTACCTCATTTCATTAACCCTTATTAAAAAACCCCCAACTTTTAGCATGTCTGGTGTCAAAGAAATAATTTTTTAAAATGCATAGAGCTGAAACAGTGGCTTTCTTTTATAGTTAGTTCAGGACACACCAGTTCTCTGGTAGCAGATAAGCTAAATGGAGACTTACAATATGAGAACTGGGGACACTCAAAACTAGTGTGAATCAGTTTAAAATGGCTAAAAATAGTCCCCAGGCAATGGGTAGTGAGCTTCTGGAACTTGTTGCCGCAGAAAGATGTGGAGGCAGACAGTATCAGCAGGGTCAGAAATGGCTTCGAAAAGTTCATGGACAGCAGGTCCTTAAGTGGATACTAGAAGGACTAAGCAGATAAGTACTCTTTTAAATCCCTAGTACAATGATTCTGGGTACTGGAAAAGTACAAGGGGAATGGTTTGCAGAAAGGGGGCAGATCATATGTTTCTCCCAACCACAGTTGTCTTTTGCCATTTCTTTTGTTTATGTTTTAATAATGTTTCATTATAATAGCTCAGAATTTCTCCTGGAAGATTGAAAAAAAGTGGTGAAATAAATGTTGTGTAAATAATCAAAGACATTTGAAATACATCTCATGAGTTAAAAATAATATTCACATCATTGCTGTGTTCCAAATCACACCTCCATTCATTACTTACAATACTGTTTAATTTTTCAAATGGGCAGTCATACTGAAGAAAGGCATCAGATTAGGTAATTTATAACATAATTCCCTTAGTCGTCTATTGTTTGCAGATTGTTTTTTCTTTTTTTCTCCTTTTGTTCTGTGCTGTTCATTGTGACACCGATCATTTTCTTCACAGTGGCTTATGTATTTTTTATGTATGAAATAGAAACACTATGAATAAACAGTAGAAAATGTACAATTCCTGCAAAATTAACTGCAGAAGTAAAAGTAAGATTCTGTTCCCACTGTAGAGAGTTTTGTCCTTGATTCCTTTGGAAAAAAAAGATTGGACTCTATTATTAAAGTACAGCATGGACAAGCACTCCAGGCACAGTCAGAGCAGTTAATTAAATATTGGTTGTACTTGAGTCAGTATAATGCATTTTTATTATTTCTTATCCAATCTGATATCTTTTTTAATACTTATCTTGTTTTTATATTTATTGCTTGTAAGTTTTATGTGTTGTTTTAATGAAGCTATTTCTATAAACAGATTGCTGGCAGGAAAAGGAATATTTATCCAAACATGGCATTTCTCTTGACTAGCTTATCAAAAGCTTGTTTATCTCTATGACTTTTACCAAGGCTTGACTTGCAACAGTAAGAGGTGATCCACATTCAAACCTTAAGGAGTTGGTAATAAACATCCGTCCTAAACCTCTCTCCAGAAATCTGGGAAAACACACCAAAAAGTGGCTTATCTTCCCCACTTGAAAAACAGGGTGTCAAATGCATAATAAATAGAACTTTATTCTAGGGAGAAAAGAAAAAGAGAGGTGACAAATAAAGGAGATAATATTCAATAACCAATTATTCCTTTCCTAAAGTGTAGCCATAACTGTTTACAGATATCTCTGATTCCTTGGGAGGACAACGGCTATGCTAGCTGACTGTTCCCTACCTTCTGCAGTAGCGCTTTACTCACAGGCTGGGATTATCAAATCACACAGCTCGGTCAATTACGCAGGTAGCAAGACCTTATCTGTCTTGTAGCCTGTGCTGCTCTGCAGCTGCTGTTGTTTTGCTCCTAAGCATGAGTACAGCTAACAAAGACACATGCGGCTCCAGTTGCTTATAGGAGAATTCTTTGCTAGCTTCTCTTTACTTTTTTTTAGTCTGTGATGCCTCATAGCTTCAGACCAGGATGGCCTGATTTGACACATTGATGGAAAAAAAAAAAGTTTTGCAGTTTTTGGGGTAGCTCCACATTTAACAGAAATGCCTCCAAGTATGATGGAAAAATATTTAAATGCATTATGTCTTTGTTCATGTCTCATTTTTATCTGCTGGGTGTAAACAGGGTCCCCCCGATGCAAATGCAACGTGATACAAATTTGCTTTCGTTACAGTCTTCAAAGCAGCAGCTGCAGCTATAGCTTCCCCTCCCTGTCTGCAGCTTATTTTTCTTTACCAGTCACCATTTTTTTATCGAACGTTTAGAAGCTTCATCACCTTGTCTATCAAATTTCATTCAAACAGACCTTAAGTTCAAAAGCTGGTTGGAGGAGACCAACTGTCAAGTGAGCAGGTTGATAATGTAGTTATAAAAGTCTTGTTGCTTAGGAGGCCTCAAGAACTAATACAGAGAATAAAAAGGGTGTCAGTATTCCTTGTCTTGTCCTCAGTGTCTTTGGCTGCAAATTGCTTTCTAGAAAAAAACACCCTAATTGTAAGTTTGGGGAGGGGCTTGAGAGGCTGGAGAAAAAGGTGGGGTTAAGAATTTGATGTTAAGAAAGGGGCCAGAGGAAGTTCCAAGGGATTTGACTTTTTCAGTGCTTGTGGCATTATGCTATTTTTAAAATTTAAGCTTTAACTCATGCTTATAAGTTGTAGTAGGTTAACATAAGGGAAGTATTGGCAACTGTTGTGATTGTATAGTATTTATGATTATATCTAGTGGGAGGTCTTTAAAATCTACCTTTGAAATCAAAATAATATATGTATATTCTGAATACAGCTGCTTAACATTTATCATCTCAGAGATGCAGAAGAAAATGTTTAACCATGAAGTGTGGCAGGTTCTGAAGTCAGAGAAATAGAATTTATAATTAATTTATTTTATAAAAACCTTGATTTTTAAACCCATCTTGAGAACTTTGATGTCTGGGTCTTGCTTTTTAAAATCTTTTTGATTGGCCAAGGATGAGTGTAGGAGAAGGGTAGCTGAAAAATCTAAACAGATGCATAGCCAATGTATGCATAAATAAGCCAGCATATCTTATTCTGTACCCTTTGAATGTTACTGCCCCTTTCTTTTTGCGTTCATGATGCCTTGCCTATATTCAGAGATAAAAGCTTGATAATATCTGGCAAAAACATCAATAGTCCTGGAGGTCACTGACCATTGGTTAACTGTGCCAATAAAAAACATTGTACATGTGAAACTGGAATATTTGGTCAAATAGAATTTGCTCAAGACCAGATTTTAGCTGGACATTGCCCAGATAGCAAGTTAATGGATGATATAATATCATAAGATCAATAAGTGTTGAAAACCTGTGAAATTAAGTTGAAAAGTGAATTGGGAATTGTCTGCCAAAATCCACCCACTTCTCATCTCCAGTGGCTGGATGGAGGGCATCTTTGTGTTACTGGCCCGTTCTCTGCTGGACACGGAGAAGCGGTACCTAAAAGTTCACAGTCCTGGGAGGAGAAGAGAGCATTTGGGGTGTGACTGAAGGTACATAGGGTGTGTTGCTGCCAGCTGTTTTGCTCGGTTTGGCTAGAAGGTGAGAGACCAAGCCAGAAGAAGGAGAGGTTCGGCACTATCTGGGCATGTTTTTTAGAGGATTTGCTGCAGTCCTGTCTTATCATGCTGTCGCATAGAGTAAATGTGTGGAGACCAGATGCATTGCATCCTGTACCCTTATCTGTCCATGTGGGCATGTTGGAGGGAGAAAGCCACAGTGCTGGCCCACTCACAGATTGGCATAAATCTGCAGAATCAGCAGCAGGATTTGAAGTAGTGATGACTAAACGTTATCAGCTGTTAATCATATCAATGCCATCTGGGAGTGCGGCAGTATCCAGGTACGTCCTGAGGACAAAGGAAGCACAGAAACTATACATCTTCAGTCTCCTACTTGTAGTTCAAGATATTAGTCCTGAACATTAGTACCAGGCCTCAATTATGGTAAACATTGGTGGTGGCCTAGGTGACGCTGAAAGCTGCGTACAGGAATCGCTGTGCTGGAGTGGCCACAGCAAATAAAGGAAGTGCCCATGAACCTGCACTGACCACTGCTGCTTGCTGATCTGCCCTGTAGCTACAGCTACTGCTTAGATAAACACCCCTTCTGGTATTTATTTTTAAATCATAGAAGTCTTTGAACCCAAGTCTCAGATCCAAGCTAGAGAAAGTATTGATTCAAATGTCATTTCTGAGCCTTGTCTGCAGAACAGGCTAAACAATATCCAAACTGAATGCTCAAAACTGTGGATCCAGACTTTCGGATGTTCTCTTTCACTCGCCGTGTTTATGTTCACACCAACTCCGCTCCATTTATCTTCACTTGCTGCTGTTGCTGTTCAATTTACTATTGTAAGCAGCTGTAGTCAAGAAAGAGAACTAACTGAAACAGGGTGTTCTTGGCTGTGGCTAGCAGTTAATGAAGATGATTTCTTCCCCAGTACTCCTTTTGGGGAAGAATCTGGTTACATATGTTGATATAAATCTCAGTAGTGTCATTAAACTGATGGAGCCACGGTGAGATTACAGTCAACACACAAACAGTTAGTAAAATAGACCTAGGTAGATATAAAATAGCGGAAGTGAGAAGTATGGCGATTAACTGAAAAGAGGGGCAAAAAAAGCGTTTTGAAAATCACTGAAGTGTGACACAGGCTGTTGCCCCAGTGCTCTTGTCCTCTGACTCACTAAGCCGACGGTGCTCTGTGTGAGGGCCTGGTATCCCCGATTTTGGCACGTGGCAAATCAGCAGTTCCTGTGCAGGGAGGTAGAACACACTGGTTGTGTTAGGGAAAACTGAACTGGCAAAGGTGAAACTTCCTGAGGGAAAAACAAGATGCTGTAATTTGATGACTTGATAAAAAGGGAAATGCTGACACAGCCTAGAGCTCACACTGCGATAAGAATTGGATAGAATTTGAATTTTATGGGTTTTGGGGAACTACCTGATTTTGAATTTTTTTCTACTCTGAAATAAATGAAACCAAAATATGTTGAAATTTCTTATGATGTGGAATTGAAATGGAATTCTTTTTGGCTCAGTTGATATGTTTCACGCATCACTTTTTGGCTTATTTTAATCTTTGAAGCAATTAAATGACTCTTTTATATAAAATTTATGTTTTTAAGAGTTTTGCAAACTGAAAAAGTAAACATATTTGTTGTGAATATAACTCCATACAATATTTCAATATTATTTTGTCTCCACTCAAAATAAAATAATACTTTTATTTGTATTTTATTTATAATAATAAAATAAGACATTATAATCAAATTGTGTAATGCCAGAATACTTTAACAAAACCATAATTTTTTATTGAAAGGCTCTTTGAATGGAGCAATTATCGAGCATCTCTAGGGATGATTCAGCAGCATAAAAGCTTCAGGAACAATAATATTTTATTGATTTTGTTTTGAACAAAGGATTTTACAGATCTGGTGGCAACTAGAGAAAGGCTCTGTGGTCTCATACGAGCCCCATAATTATTGCAAATATCAGTGTACTCCTGGCCACAAACGACATTTCTTTCCCATGTTCACTCTTTTTCTTCTTGTTGTCTTCTTATTTATTTATATTTGTTATTGTCAGTACACTTGCTATGTCTGGCTTTAGTGAAATTGATTTTTCTTAGCTACAGGCAGTAGACTGTCCCTGTGGTTTTTATTATAAGGCAGTTAATATGACCTATCTCAAGAAAGAATTAGGCTGATTTTGTAAATCATCATTTTTCCTGCACAGCAGGGTCAGCAAAGCGTAAGAATCTGAATAGCCTGGGCTTGATTCTCCACCAGCCAGAATTATGTGCAGAGGTTTCACATGTGGGTAGCCTTTTCCACGTTCTTTAAGTGAGGGTATAAAGCATTAGGAAAAAAATAATCTTTCTTGAGATCTTCCACAGGAAGGAAAAAAATAGGCTAAGCTTATCACATTATAATTAAGAAGTTAAGCCATAAAATAATAAAAACCCGCTAGATTCTAATGCCAAACAGTGTTGAAGTCCTCTTCCCTGTTTATACACCATTACACCGGGTGTGACTCTGTAAGGGCCCTGAGAGTATCCCCTCTCCTGGAGGCTTGGCTGCCGGCGCTCAGGGCCAGCTTAGCAACAGCATGGCTGGGGTGACCTTGGGGACAGGCTCCCAGGCAGCGCTGAGGGGAGGCCACGGCCAGGGCCAACCCGACCCCCCTTTAAGCTGAGGCTGTAGCATTTTGGCTCCTGCCTGAGCAGCTGTGCATGTACCTGGCCTTGGACCCTGTTGATCCAGCCCCAGATTCAGACCTGCAGCCTGTCTCCCTGCCTGACCTTGGACCTGCCTTGTCACTGTGGACTTGGAGACCACTGGACTGTGTCTGACTCTGGTACCGTAACCAGACGTGATCCTGACCCTCACTTGCTAACTCATGTTCCTGGCTTGACCTCAGACCTGTCCCATAACCCATGAACTTGCGTGCTGATCTGGCCTTTTCCTATAACCTGACTACCATCCCTGGGTATGCCCTGCTCATCTTGCTCAAGTACCACGGGACAGGCCCCTGCCCTGCCAGCCTGGTTATCATGCTCGGCTCCATCTCACCATCCCTTAGGGAGCAGCCATCCCGCACTGTGCCCTGACAGACTTTTGCTACTGAGGATATTTTTTTCTGATGCCTTTGGGCTGTCTCAGCCCTGCAAGTTCTTTTACCCTCCACAGTTACCTTTCCTTCAAGCTCTTACTGATGGGAGGAATTTGAGAATTAAAAGCCAAATTCTTTTGTTGGAAAATGCCCCAGTTAAATTTCTTTTTCTAATCTGTTCTTGTGCTTTCTTAAAACTGAGAACTCCAAAGATGAAGACTGTAATAAGCAATTTATTTATTAAAGATGTTACACAAATTGAAAGACCAGGTTGCCATTGTGGCTGTTATTTTGTTGTAGGTAGTTGAAGTGATTGGATGCTGGCTAGACTTTGGTAGGCTTTTTAGGCAGCAACGGCTGGAGGATGGAATTTATCTCCTTTGCTTCTCCTGGGCATGCATGTGATAGAGAAAGTTCTTCAGGAAAAGGGAGAAAAACTGGTCCAGTGACTGGTTTGGTCAAATCTGGTTTGTCTACTTGAGTCTCTTCTCCATCAAGACTGGGTGTAGATCCTACAGCCTCAGGTGGAACTGACTTTCCATCTTTATGTTCGTTTTGACTTTGTGGTAGGTTTTGGAAAGATATGTCCTCAGTTGAAGGGGGTAGAATTTTAACCCAGCCCACTGTTTTTTCAAGGTGTGGGGAGAAAGGATTGGTTTCTGAAGGGAAAGCTTGTTGTTGATTCTGGCTGGATTTTCCAGGTGTCTGATTAGCTTGCTGTTTACCCTCTTCAGTGGCAGGATCCTAAATAACAGGCAATAAGCATTACCTATATTGAAGCTATTACAAATTCTTTCAGATATGAAGAAGGTCACCCTTCACAGTAAGGATCTGCTGCAATTCCAGTCTGCAAAGACCAGCTGCAGAACAGAAGCTCAAAGAATAGACAGATGGAACTACTTCTTATGCCAGTGGAGATGGGTGCATGAAACTTGGGTAACTACACAGTTATTGCTCTTTGCATTCCCTTTGTTATTTTCAATTTCTTTTTAGAGCATTCTGAACACAGTCTGTATGATTGACTCTATACTTACTCTGTTGCCTTTTTATCCACCTAGAAACAGTCTGTATTATCACAAGAGAGATTACTTCCTGATTTGGCCTTATCACTTTCTTGAAGCCCATATCTTTGTGAATAAGAAAACTTAAAAATGGCTGGGCTTTCAAGAGTTCAATTCTTGTTTTGTAAAGAATTATTACTCTTGCAATATTAAGAAATTAAGGATTAAGAAATACCTGCAGACTGTAGATTTCACAGGATACTGTGACAAACAGTTCGTGTTCCAAGTGGCTGTTTACTACAGAGCCTTTGCAGAAACCTATTTGCTGGAAGAAGAAAATGCAAGCATTTTTTCACATTGTAGCACTGATACTTAGCTCCTATCTTGTAAAATAAGTGATTATGAAAGGCTGAATAGTTACAGCTTCTACATGTATTTATAGGGATAAGCAGCTTGGGCAAACTTTTATTTTGGGATTTGCAAGCTTACAAAGGCAGGCAGCATTTTGAAAAAGGCTTCATGTTTGCAGAGGAGGGTTAGGTAACATGATAGTAAAAATAAGCTGGCCACTTAAGGCCCAGCTACAACAGCACACTTAAGTTCTGCTGCAGCAGAATATCCTCGTGCAGGCAAATTGTGTAATAGAACATAATATCATTTTTCGGGCAAAACCGATTTCAGACCGTACTGGTGAAAGAAATTATGAAAAAATGTTCTTTCTAATAATTGTGGTTTTACTGGGCTGTAGGTAACATGGCTTGGATCTCAGTGAAGATGGGGCTTGAAATGTTATCTCTTGGCAAGCATGCACGTTTAGTCTTTCGGTTTCTCTTATAATTTTTTCCTTAGTTCCTAAATGTTTTCCTTAGCTGACCAGATTGTAGTATGAATATACTCTTTATGCATTGTTTGTGATTTATTGTCTATGTCTGTTTACTTGGAAGAAATCCTTAAGAATGATTCCGTTTTGTAAGGCGATGGCTATCCCGCCTTTTTCTGGATGGTTTTTTTTTCTGTTTTCTTTGTTCATGGACTTCTAGATAAGAATTCAGAACTTTTACTGAAATGTTTTCTCTATTCTAAAGCAGTCTGTACAGTTGCAAGACAGTATAGACCTACCACCCATAAAAAGATGCCTGTGGGCTTTGATTCTTGTCTGCAAAGAACCAAAAGGATAGGCTAAGTATTCACTGAGGAATCATAGTATCTGAAAAATAGATGTTTATACAAGGAAAAGTACTTACAGCTGATGAAAGTGGCTTGCACTTGGAGATGTCAGCAATCGTGTCATTTTTGGAGCAGGATGTCTCCTGAATTAAAAACTCTACAAAATATGCAGGACCAACGACCCACTGTTAATGAGAGACCAGTAGCAATTAGACCTTGTGCATGTGTCAGGAAGAAGGAAGAATCCTACAAACCTTGAAATTGACGTAAAACTCCTGTTACGTGTGGAAGGAACAGGTTATACTTGGGGCATTACTGTTAGTTGTATTACAGGAGAATGATTTTTTGCCTGGTTATTATTTACTTCTTATATATGCACAATCCTAGTAACTCATGGATTAGCTATAGTTGAAATCATAGAATCATAGACTCATTAAGGT